AAACAAACAAACAAAAAAAAAAACCAAAACTGAATAATATTCCAGTATAAGGGAGTTTATTCCAGATAATGGAAATGCCTTTTCAAAGTTTGTTTCCCATTAGTAGATAAGCTTAGACTCTGTGTTGGGATAATTTCCAATCTGTCCTGGAAAAGTGAATACAAACACATGGATACAGAAATATGCCCATGATTTTACACTATAATAAACAAGTCATACAAGTACAGTCTACTTGGAAAGATAACATAACACACTTCAGCACACAATGTTTTGTGCTTTTGGTAATCACAATTTTTGCAAAACAATTCTTCACAGACATTCATTAGTCACTCTCCATAATATCTAGTGAAGCACAAAAGGACAAGATGTAGTTAGCGACAAACGTTTTTCAGAGTCCTCTCTCAGTCTCTTGCCATACTGCACTGTCAAGAGAGATGGTTTTTTGGTCTTTGAAATCCAAAATACCAGCTGTGTCCTGCACTTTCCCTCAAGCTGTCCTACATAAATGATAAAAGTATCCTACCTTTCATAATTTGTGCATCTTTTTGTGAAGTTGCCACAAAGACAATAGGCATGGTTAAGTAGACATTTTGTTTGCAAACTATTAAGACTAACTGCAATGTCAGCTCTGCACAGAACAACAAGCAGATGATTAAATATCTTGAGATTCTTTGGGTTTGTAGTCTTTTTTTTTTTTTTTGTCCCTAGGTAAGATGTGAAGATGTTAACTAGACCTTGCTGCAAAACTGGCAGAAACATCTTTGCAGACAGCTGACAATCAGCGTGGCTGTAGCTGCAAGTTTAACCATGCACACACATTGCAGTGAGTTTGCCACATATTGAGAGCAGGAGTTTCATTGTCTAGCCCTTGGTCTAAGTTATTGACTCCTAGCAGAGAATCAGTTTGCAACGCTGTACTGATTATTTTACCTAGATTGTCTAGTAATCTAATATCCTACACTGAAATTTCAACAGTAAAGGCCACTCATTTATTTAAACAATCATTCCCTTATTTTTTTTTCTAAAACCAGAAAATAGCATCCAGCACTAACAGAAATATGTCACTTGCTAGGACCGACTAATTTCATTAATTCATTCAAGCAGTCAACTCTTTTCCTAAAGCTGTTTTCTCATTTTGCTTCAGAGGGAGAGAATAAAGAGAGGCTTAGAGATAATGCACTTTTCAATGACCAAAATTCTCCAACACACTTAAGTTACATCTTTTATAGCACCCACATTAATCTATGTTTATATCGAAAACTTTTTCTCTACCAATTCCTATCCAGAATGTCAGATTTCCTTTCTATTAACAAAAAACCAAAACAAACAAACAAAAATCCCCCCCAAAAAAACCAAACACACACACACAAACTCACCAATATAATACATATATTGAAATACTGTTAGTTTCCTAACCATTCCAAAGCTCACTTTGGGTAAATACTTAATGACTGTAATTATCTAAACAGCTAAATTCAATCGGTAACATTCTGTAAAAAATAAAATTGCTTACAGATTGTCTCTCATAGATGACAAAAGGCTCTGTTTCCATTATCTCTCCCTCTGCTACTCTCTCTCTTATTTATTCTTTTTTTTTTTTTAC